GCTAGCTGCTGATTGTTGCAATAAGAAGTTTGTGTATTCAGCAAGTTAGAATATGATTAGGTAACTTAATATTACCTTGCATGGTTGACAAGATTTGCCCTGACTAGGGACTTCACAGGGCGGCTGCCTTTTGCAAAAACAATTATGAAACCTACATTTCAATCATGGTTGAAACTCATGTTAAAGACTATAGCTACAGATCTACACGAAGGTACACATTCAGCGAAATAGATTTCTAACTACAGTGTCAACTTTTTCAACTACACATAATGTTACGTATGAGGTAAATTAGACTGGTATACAAAGGTATCAATTTTTTTATCTTGATACTTCAGATCGATATATTTCAGTTTTCTTTGAATCGTTCTCTGTTTACTGTTCCCATACCTATAATATCTGTGGTAAAGTTAAAGCTTTAATGTCTATAATATATTCTCAATCGTTTGTTGCGTAAACCACATTGAAAATACTAAATTCGTAGCAACCTAATTACCATTCTATTAGCGACGATCAAAAGATCCGTAGGAAGAAAAATGCCAAGCTAAAAGTTTGCTCACGACTAGGCATTATCTATAGAGAACAGAAACAAAAGGAGGGGCAAACAAAAAATACCAAAAAACTTTTTAAAAAGAGAATCCTCCTTTCCATATAAGGGCCGTCGGCCTTTTCATTGCTATTGGATTCACTCAGCAGCCGACGTAAAAGCCAGCTGCTTTCGCTTTGCAGTGACTCAGCTGCCATGTGCGCTGACTTGGGAGCTTCTGGCTATTTCCTTTCGAAACCATTTAAATTCGTCTGTAGGCGGAATCTTCGGTAGAACTGGCAAACGCGGTTAAAGCAATAGTGTCCTTCAAAGAGTCAACTGCACACACCTACAATGCAATGTCTTTTAGCTGGCGGCACGTGTCTGAAAGGAAAAGGCTGGCGTAATATTCTAGGCTAAACTACCGACCGTGCGCGTTGTGCCCGACACGAAATCGGCCAAAAGAGCTTTCTATCGGTATGCGATAGCTAAAGGCCTAGACAGGTAACGATCGAATCGTTAACGTCTACAATGAATTAAAACAGAGAGCAACGTCATATAGGGACAAGAGTGTATTCCATAATTATGTTAATAGACAGAAATATGTAAGTACCGCTAATGATATGTGCTACACAGCATGTATGAATGAAGAAAGTTACCTTATAAAAAAGTTATATTCAGTCCTCACTCAACTGAAATGTGATAATTTGTGCGTACAATTATGTTTATGTTATGGTAGATACGTCATTATTGGTTGACTTATATATATAGCTATTACAAAATATAATTTTTATTTTTACAAGTGATGAAAAATTTCAATGATGCGTAATTTTTACAGCTGTACATTTGAACGGAAACAATTACGTCGGTACTGTAGAAAATTGTTGCACTACTTACGAGCCAAGGTACTTTAACCTGTTTTCCGGTTCGAGGAGGTACTCGTAGTGGCGGGAAAACACTAGAATTGATTGTGAAAAATTCCTCTTTGATCCTGCTGAATATTACGATACCTTACGCTCTCGTCTTTCTTGGTCAGATTTGTTGCGGGACCTGGTGTCATCGCTTTGAACCAGCATATCCAGTAGGCTGTATATCGGCAAGCCTTAAAGAAAGGCTTCTTTCTCTCTCTCTCTCTCTCTCTTTCCTTACAGTAGGGGCGGTTATCTAAGGCTCTTCCGGAACGCTTCTTAAGAACCCGACCTAGGTCCTTCTATTCTGGAAAGAACTTCTACTCTGGTACTCTCCTATGATATGATGACATTCACTTTAGGGGCGTGGCCAAAGCTTTAGTAGTCGTGGAGTTACGACCGAAGATGAAAACTCAATACGGTTCTCTGAGGTGAACTGAATCAACTTTTGCCTAGTGGATACTGCCTTTTTTGGACTTCCAGACGCGTAGGGTTAAGAGCAACCAAGGTAAGCTTACCAATACTAGATGATATTTGCACCAGAGGTATGCATATACCGTCATGCAAGCATAAAATTGCCCAATATGGGAAACATTGAATTATTCCATTTACGTTCAATGCATAGGATCCTCTAATCAAAATGATGGGACTTTAAAGGAAGGCAGAAAACTAGCAGAAAAACATTGTATTTCGATTACAATAAGAAGAAAACAGTTGAAAAATACTTTCTCGTTGCCTGAGTAAATAGAATGTCGGAGTTATTTGCAGGCGGCACTGTAATTGATTAGTTACTTTTTTTTCTTCACAATATAACTTTGCGTAGACGTACATTTGACTAGAGCAAATTTCTTTACATTCTCTGCCCATAATTCACGGGCAATTGCACCGAACCGACGGAAATTTTCACAATGTCACTAGTAATTAAGCCTTAATATAAGCGTTGAACAGCTACTAAGCATTAACAAAAAGTCCAGCTCATCGCATTGCCAGCTCGACGATAAGGGGCATAAAGTAATAAACGTTAGCAATGCACGGTAATGCGGAGTTTGATTTCCTGTAACAATGACGTTCAGACCCGTTTGGAAAATTTAACCCCTGTTGCTTCTAATTTAATCGCTGATCTCGCGTGGTGGACTTTTAAAAGCAATTGAACGACGAGCCCATATATCCTTCGCGCCCGTCGGTTTGACTGCGGTGTTCCCTTAGCTCATGGCTTTTTAGCAGATGTGCGTCTTCTCCACGAAATTCCTAAAGAACTTCAGAACTCGACGAAAAGCGACACACTTACGTAACCACCTATGGATCGCCTCCTCTAAAAACACTTTCCATTAATCCACTATATCCATCCCGTCACAATTATCACTGGCAAGGCTTTCTTTTCGTGTCGGTTTCATCGACTCGAGCTTAACAACTGAAATGCCGCTAATTCAAACTGAACAGTGTTATATCGTCTAGAAGGTCTCTGGCCCTCACTCCTTGTCCCGCCACGTATATACGGGACTCGGTACAGCGTCGTAAAAAGGCAGACAGCGGGAAAACCGTAATAATTCCACTGATCTTACGGACAACTCTAACTGTAAGCCTGAATCTACTGGCACGTCCAGTCCTGACTGCTTGCTCGGCCAAGGCGCGATCGTTCCAAAGGCCAGATCTGAAGTAATACGTCTTTCTCCTAACCTTCCCATTCACTTCTGGCTTCACCGAGCTGCTACTTCTACAATGGAATTTCGATTAACTTCTCCTGAACGATTATAGAAATTATCTAAGCAGAAACCATTCTGTGTCTGCGCATAGTTGTTGGGTAAATAGCTGCGAGGGATTAACGCGAGCGATATTGTCCAATCCTTATGCGCTCAGCGTTCGTCTGCGCGGTTCACTCATCGGGCAGCGCTTCCTGACAGACGTAGCACTGATTTATCCTGTTATGACCACTTTCCCGACGGATAGTACAAAAATTTTTCATTTTTCTTAGTTACATGAAATGAATCGACTGTCTGGTTTCATTCTCCAGGTTGGATACCGTCTGCTATATGATCCGCATGTGTGCGGGATGCGAGACCTGTGCAAGGGAACCGAAAAATGTGTATCACTGAACCTACTTATCATTACCCCGTGCAATAGTTTGTGTAATAACTATTATTCGAAGGCGTGATTGCAACGGTGCGGTGTTATCCAACGCGCTGTTTGTTTGCACGATACATTTATTGTAAAATTTAGAAATTTTACACTTTCAGTTAGCACCGATGAATGCCATATATATATATATATATATATATATATATATATATATATATATATATCAAGCAATTGCTGCATACTAGTAGAAACATTTTTTGAGGCAGCAATACCCATTTGGGTATCATTAATGGTAGAAAGCCTGCTTTTTTTAAGCAAGTGTCTCTAAAGAAAAGAACACAAGTCTCTACCTTAAAAAACGTTAAGGTCTAGCTAAGGCCAAATCGGCTTTGTAGTGTTCCGTGATCCTATAGAATGTATTCTTTGCTAAACGAAAATACCTTTACGCGATTATGTGCTTAAAAAGGCACAGAAAAGTAATTTTGCTAGCACAGGCCACAAGCTGCAGTTGTAGGCTCATTGGTATTCAAATGAAATATTAACTTGCTACGTTTTGGCCTTTCCAGTGGAACGTGTGTCCAATTTGACTCTGTCGATACGCTATAATTTGAATATTCTAATTCAAATTTGCTGGCCGAAAGAACTAGCACAATGCCCAGTTTCAATGCTATGAGGTACGTCGAATAACGAACATTGATTAATAGATACATCTCAATGGGTACAAGAACAAGTCGGTGAAGTCCTAAAAATTAGTATGACTTCTTCCCCTGTTCTTTGTATGGGTACTACTATGAATCATTTCTGGTGATCTACCTACATACGGCTGTCAACATAATAGCCGAATGAAGGCCCTATGGGTATGAGACATAGATGTTACTACACTGACGTAATCGAATTCGCTGCATTAACCATATGCTAACGATAAATTGTTTTACGATCATATTTTACAAGCAACCGTATTATACGGAATGGTTCGCGCATTACATTACAAATTCATGGGTTAAATCTGTTTCATTGATTTTCTCCTAACCTAAGCTTACCCAGCGCTGCTATCTCAATCTTCAACAGCCCAAACAAAATTTAAATCTAACGAGATTTTGTACTCCAAATATTCGGCCAGTAGAGAATAGTGTGCAGTGAAAATATTGCACGCAAGCTACGGAAGTGCCAAAGAATACGCTGGCTCGTATCACCCTCTGTATGTCGTTCACGCTTGCCTATAGGTTAAAACGAATTTAAGCTATACATTACGACGGACGAAACCCAGCGACCATATCATACATCGTAAGATGACGTTCATATACCTCAATACAGTAACCAATTACGTGAGTATGCTTAAAATGTTGAGCAATTTCATATCGACCCAGAAGCTTTAGTGGGTGCAATTGTACTTAAATGTATGTTGCAGACTATTTTATCTATCAAGGAACGCCGGAAATTGAAAAGACTGTGCCCTTTTTCCAATCCTATCACGGAAACTTCTCTAACAGCCTTAGAAAAGCCGCAGTTTATTTTTTTACCAAACTTCACATAAATTGAGTGATCTCTTATTTTCGTTGCGCATCTCATCGACGAGTGTCGCTTCGCTAAGCAATGACTGAGGGTGCGAGGTGGCGTTTGTGTTGCAGGCGGATAATACCGTAAGTAACAACATGTTGACGGATATCAGCTCTATTATTAGTCTGCCATAGCATTTTAGCATTCAACATTAGGTCGAATACACCGTTGTTTGACAAAGTGTTTCAAGTTCACAAACGAGCCAACAAGCTGCCCATACAACGCGGTCTATGCTTGACAAAAAAAGTGCTGCAACTATTATCATAGCCCGAATCGAAGTCGCCTTTATCGATGGCACCCAACATGTAAGGAGCCCCGTCAGTTTGTGTTGTAAATCGCGTTTCCCACGAAATCAACTGCTGGCTGGACTATGCAGAACGAGTTTACAACAGAAGTCATCCACGGTAGATAATATTCCACTTTCGTGTAGATGCCTGGGGTATGAGGTCGTCCGCAACCAAAACCCCAACTGGTTCATTAGTTCGACGGACAGCGAGCGAGGAGAAAATAGAGAATACAATTTTATCCATACCATCGATGCTCTACAAATATAACTATTCATTTTTCTATTAATGGTTATTTTTTATTTGGTCAAATTTCCTATTATTACTCCCTATGCGTCAAAGAACCAACAAATAATTTCCTTCATACTTTAGAGAATTACCTGACGATTCCAAGCTGAGTCCACATGTCTCTATCGAGTAAATTTTCCATGAGCGGCCCTCCTGAATCGCCTTGACATGCATCTCTGCTCCTGCCTATGGCACATATGACCTGTTCGGCGGGCACAGATTCGGGTCCAAACTCCGACTGGCCTGCACGGTTACGACAAAAACAAAGGCGGCTTGTTTTTTTTTCTCATATATTTTAGTAAATCTGCATGTCATTACCACCTTCGTCGCCTGCTAAAGGACAAGGTCGTTACCCTTACCTCCAGCCCGACACATAGATACACGACATGCGTGAGACGACAAAATTTTACTTTGAAGCTGCGTATTATATAAATAATTGATTCTTCTCGTTGATTCGTCACTAGCTGCGACTATATATGGCAAGACATTGGACAGCAGAGTATTTGTATTGTATTACGCTGGCTTTGAATGATCCCGTATACATAGACATCCGGTAAGCAGAATGAGATTTCAATTTGTAGTACACGATTAGTCCTTTATGCTGAGGCTTGCAGCCCTTCTTACTTAAATATCCGATTACAAATGCGCCCGTGGCCAACGCTAAGTTTACTCCTATCGGGCAACGTACTAATTAAGCAGTACAGCGACCCACCATCAAAGAAAGGAGCTGCTTAGCTTGCTGTCTAAGTCGCAGTATAATTACTTGGATAGGTAGCAGACTTAGGAAAGAAGTTCAGAATGTCTTGGGCTCAAAGTCCTTGCCAGAGGATATGACTCGCAGTGATGGTAGCATTAATGAGGCAAGGTTTCTCGCTGAGGTGCTGGACACAATTTAGAATATACATTTGTCCTTATAAACTTACCTAACAGCCTTCTAGTATCAATCGTGCTCCGATAATAAGGCAGACACAATGGTGCGTAGCATCGAACCCTTTTATCACGAGTATTCCAAGAGATCTCTTTTCGCCAAAAGATTTGGTGGCGTAAGTCCGCCACAGTTAGAAATGTGTACTACGCATCATTTTTGCCTCAACCGTTCTTTATTTTTTTCTATTTAGAGTTGCAAGTTTGCGGTACTTGGCAAGAGGAAAAGCTCGATGTAAGCATCATGTCTGCCCGCTGTGAAGCTTGTATCGGAAACAAACAACGATCATTATTCGTTTGGCTTTAGCTCTGCACTTCATCCTAAGTTGCCAGCTCTAGCAGCAGCTTTATGGCAATAGAACTACAAATGATGATTCCATGAAATGTTACATTGGCACTGAACTAACAACCTTAAGACCAGCAGAAGGTCTCCAGGCGATCTATCGCATCGATCAGCCGAAGCCTAAGTCATATGATTTTTTCGTGTATTCTTATACAGTATTACGTGTAACGTGGCACACTATATCGCGGGTCGTCTGAACTTAATTTAATCACATACGCACATGAAAAGTAAGCAGGTAAGTTCTGTGTGAAAAGTGCGTAACTTGTCCTGCAATGGAGACAATTGTGACATTTCAGGTGCTCGGTGTAAAGGCGGTGTGAAACGTTTTATGTTTAAACGTTCTAAATATAATTACGCCTCAACTCGGTCTGTCCATTAATCGATTTACACTTAATTAGCATTCGTATGTCCCATCTCGAAGGCGGGTTAGCTAGTCGTCGTTGTTGTTGTTGTTGGCCCAGGCAGCTTTGAGGGTACATGCTCAATCAGGTCACTTACACTGGATAAGACTAGCCTTAATGAGCTTTGCTACCCGAAGGTCTTCGCTCGGACCCAGAGCATCTTCTTCGGTTTTTCCCCAGCCGCTTACGAATACGACGTTGTTTCCAGAGGGACTGTGAAAGTAGCATTCGTATTTTACCAGGTTATTTAAACATTCAAGTAAATAGCAACATTCCGTATTTTGATATTATGGTATTGACAAACAAAAATCTTTAACGATTCGTTCATGTCTAACGGAAACTGTCAGCGGCCTTTATACCCTGCTGAACATAGCCAGAGAATTGGTTTTTTTTTTATGGGAAAACAGCACACACACACACACACATACACATAAATAATTAACTTTGGAATTTTTTTTGAAAACGATTTCTGTCCTCAATTTAATGTTCTTACTTAATTCTCAAAGGGAAGGGCCTCAGTTAGAGCGTACCAGTGCCGACTAGCCAGCCGGGCCCACCAATTTTAAACACAGGGCATTTGTGCATTGTTCATAGTAAACTTGTGAAGACTAAAATGAATTTAGGTAAGCCGTGTCTGATGTATGACGCTACTATACGTGGGTTTACGCTTTCGTTCTACAGTTATAATACTATGCTTTTATAACGGATTGGCAAACAACGCGCTTCCTCTTAACCTTAACACTTCCATAGAAAAAACGTCGGCGGATACTTGCAAATCCATTCTACAGTCTTGTCGCTCACTGTTGCGTTGGATAGCGTTCACCTGTTTGAATCTATTTGATTTAAAACTACAATTCTGATGAACGTAAGTTTCGATGTGCGCCTGATTCTGCTTTAACGTTAATCCAATTAGTGCAGTCTTACCTTTAAAATTATGGATAGCTTTATAAAGATCCCGTTCGTCTATTACAGAAGCGGGTTGCACCCTGTCTAGCCACTTCTGAATACACCTGATTATCTTTTCTTTTACAATCGCGTAAGGACTGTAAAAAAAACAAATCTTCTCAGACAATGCGTATCAAGCACATGTAATGCGCGTATCGTCCTTGTAGTCTATACTTTTTGTGATTATATAACATTATGCGTCCGATAACGGTAAAAACCTCAATAGGTGTACCAGAATTAAAAACATTCTCACCCGACAAACAAATTCAACTACTAGCACTATGACCTGAACGATAACAAGTAAGGAACTGTGATTTCGTAAATCAATCATTTCCATACAATATAGTTAAAGGCAAACTTTAGCAATTGTGATTAGGTATTTTTCATCCGGCTTTCGATCATTAATGATTAACGAAAGAGCAAACACAAGGTCTTCATGCGAAAAGAAACTTAAATAAATAAAATATGAGAATTCTAGCAAATAGATTTTCCTTTACTTACGCTGATAAGCATACAGGTGCTACATTATCCCCGAAGGGCAAAGGTTCATAGAGCTCTAGGATTGCTATGTCATTTACACCGGTAACTGGGTCGAAGTTTGGATGCTCTATGCAGCGAGCCACTTTCGGCTATTAACATATGAAAAGAAAATGTAGCATAACATATTTAGTACAGAGGAACTATATTTTCACATAAAAAAAAGGCACGCATTTCATGTGAAATAGGATGAACAATTAGATTTATACTCAGTATGTAATTGTGGACATACTGAGTATAAATCTAATTGTTTTTCTTTCGGAGAAACAGCTTCCATAATTGCTCTAGCATTTTGAACATAAAAATAGTGAGGGGCATACACGAATGGAGAAAAAAAACTTATGTATCTTTTCAGATGTTAGCCTGAAGAGTGAGAACTTTGTTGTTGGGTGCTCGGAAAGCCTACCTTAGGTTAGAATGACTTAAGCTTATCAGTTTGATTTGATATCCTTACAAATGTAACTAACAACTCAAGGAACGAAGTGTCACTTATTAAGCAATGAAATCGAACGCCACTACCGTAAACTAAGCGAAGGACGCCAGACTGAGACCTTAGACCTTTATAGGTACATAATATCTAGGAAAAAAAGCCCAACATCCGTCTGAGCAGGCGCGTAGATTCCTCGAGAAACACTAAAAACAAATTAAAATACATTGCACCTGTTCGTTTGCTGAATGATACATTTAACAAATTAAAAAAATAACGTTTAGCGGGTGATTGACGGCCGATTGAAACAGCTTGATTGATGGTAGCTTACCATTGTACGATTCTGTACTTTTGCTGTGTTTCGGCTTATTCGGTTTATGCCCACCGCAGCGGTTAACTCGTCCGGTTTCGTGCCATTGCATATATGGGCGGCTGTTAAAAGAAACCTAAGAATTGCAACAGAAACCAATTAGCCCTGCCAATTAGAACAATATGTGGAAGAGGCGGAGCTCTCTGACAAAAAAAAAGTAACCGACCTGTGCTAGATCTGTTACACATCCTAAGCAATTGTTAACGGTGCTACGGGACGTCAAGCTTAGAATTTTCATTTCCTAGTAGTAAAGTGGAGAATGCATGTGATACAATATATAGGACCGCGCCGAGTGATCTTGAGGGAGCAAGAAATCTTTTTGTCTAAAATAGTGTCCGCAATGACTGAGTTGGGTTTGGATGCTACCTGTGAGCAGGCGATTTTTAGTACCAATGACTATTTATTAATTTTTTAATCTCCTAACGGCCCCGGCATATTTCAAGCTAATTACTAATCACTGTTTTTTTTTGTTTTTACTTTTATAAGGGAAATTAGTTTTTATGCTTCTTAATATAATAGCTATATCTAAATTAAGTTTTTGAATCATTACTCAAGTGTAACAATCTAGGAACTGATGTTTTCGCACAAACTATTCAGACAGACGCCACCCCGCACTGCTACCCCATGGTTCGACATACGAAAGTAATCGAACTTCTTGTTCTCATTAGATTTTTAAAGTTCCAATCTTTGTATAATAATCACGTCGGGATTATTGGCTCACGGCTATAACATTTGTCTTATTCATATTAAAATTCGAAGCTACTTGAAGGGAACAGAGAGCCAAGACAGAGCAGATGTGATGAAGTGCTAGTTGTAGTTGTCTAACCTCTGATTAAGTATCGTTGCGCCTCCCATGAGGCGGTCTTCGATGTCGAGGAGTGCGGCCATCCAAGGCATGCCTTGGTGATCGCCTAGGGTGGTTCCGCCTACTATACGACGGACTCGAGGCTCTAGTGCATGGCATCTGCACTCCGACTGCTGTCTATTGGCTGCAAGCAGAGTGACCTTTGCTCGGCATGCTGAAATATGTACAAGTTGAGACTGGATTATGTGGCAAAGATTATTCTAATGTCATTGTTTCAGATCAAAAAAAAAAACGGGAAGTTCTCTCTAAAAGTACGCAGCGAATAAAACAAGCGAAATTTATTTATTTCTAGCTAGTTTTGCATTTAGTAGGATATTTCTAAATATACGATTGTTTTTGTTATTGAAACATTTCAAGTAGCAAAACCAAAGCTTAACCTCAAGTAGTAAGAGTCAGTCCTCACGAGGTTTATTCGAGGGGACGGGGTGGGGGTGTATGAACAATGATCTCTGTTAACGATGCAACTGTAAAGCTTTTTTTAATATTGAAAATATGTCTAATAGCTTGGCGGGAATTTAGTGTGGAAAAAATAGCTGGATTGTTAGATGAACCATATTAGGATTTTTATTCTAAGTTATGTAGATTAAAAATATTGTTATGACTGCCACCCGAATATTACATGTTTGATTCTGCGGTCTTTTCTCATTAAAACATATTAACTTTTACAGGAAACCCTTTGGAAGATGCATTTTTGAAAAGGCCGACTACATTTTGTACTATGTTTTAATAAACCTCTAGTTCGTCCTGGGACATTAGGCGGTAACGCTAACGTTTGAGATAAACCAGTAATTGTCTGAACAGTTGGCAATGAGTGAATAATTTTTTTCTCTCCTAGACAACATCAAAAGGGCTAGACTATCGACTCAGCGAATATGGGGCGCATTGATTTAATTGACTATCTTTTACTGTTGTTCTATCCGTGAACGATGTACCCGTTTGTCGTTAAATGTCAACCGCTTTCAAAAGCAACTGAAGTTTGTTGTAAGTAAAACTTCAGTACCTTGCATAATGGGATAACTGTCCTCATACGGTTAGTTTTTAATTTACTTACCGGCTACCAGCACCAGCCCAATCAAAAGTTGCATTCTGTTTCACGTTACTGAAACTCCAGTTAGATAGAAACGGACGTAACGAGGACAACTTTTATATCGGTATCCATAAGCTGACCTGCCAAGTCCGTTCATTATGAGCTCTTTGTAATGAAATGAACAGAATGATTACTTCTATAGCCGACGGCGACTGTGGATCGGACACGTGTCCATTATTCGACTTTATGCGCAAATTGTTTCGGTTTGTGTAATACAACGCATTAGATGCGTACGGCTGAATGCAAAAATATAAACACAGTTATTATGACCTCTATTATAAATCATGTCATTTGTTAGAGAAAAAATAGCACGAATATAGCACATCAATGGAACACATGTCAAGCTTAACACTCTCATGTTAAAGCCAAACGCTTAAATATGTTGTAGTACAGAGCGCTCTGAAATGATCTATGCCCTTCAATTATTTACTGCTCTATAGTGTGTTTACTTAGCTCCATAATACATGGCGCAGCTACTTAGCAAACCGAACTCGGACAATTATCTACTAACTATCTTAGTGTCCTACATTAAATAAACTTCTCGGCAACCATTATCGGTTCACATATCAGTATTCACAATATCAGCACTATTTTTCAGTGTTATTTTCAGCTCAGGTATCATACCGTTACTGGAACTCTACTATTCTAAATTATCACACCTTCCCAAAAACGCGTCCTACTAAAAAAATCGCCAGACACGAAGCACGGCAGCCTTTGCTACAAACCATCATATGAGCCAGCCTAACACACCCTAACTGCACACCGCTTCCGCTCCATGTCTCCGATGTTGATTAAGCAAAACGTTCGTAATGCGTGCTCTGTATTCATAGATAGCGCAAATGGGGGCTAGGCCAACAAACACCCGTCGACGTGTGTATCTGTGATATGAAAAAACATATTAAAAAAAAGTCGGACGAATCCGGGCCGTCCTGGCACGATTCGCTAATGTTTGTGCTACAGTTTCAACAGCTGCCTGATAACAACCGATCCGTTTGCATTGAACCGTTTATCTTATTCCGGTGTACGATAATAATTTTATCACCCGTTTACTAATAAAAGCCTAGGTAAGCGTAAATTGTAAAAAGTAAACGAATACAAAGACTAAATGATGTAGCCGATGATGTTTAATTAGTAAGCTAAAGCACCGATAGTCCTGTCATTGGTGGAGAAGATATTTTATTACTGCCGTATTATACTCTCCAGTAGTATAATACACATGTAACACACCTTGCCGTAGTCGTATCTACTTCTAAACTCGTCACGTTTATTGTTTGGCTGTATTTGTATTGGCTCTGATTATGATCACTCGTGCTATGCACCCCTCAAAGTTCCCACAGATGAAGACCGTCAAAAACAAAAAAAAGTTCAGCGTAGATAAACGACTTTCCCTGTCGCAATTAGCGTTCTTTCCTTGTTAATTCAGTGTTTCCAAGCTTCCAATTCTTTAGGTGTGTTTACCACTGTTAACGCTCAGGACGAAGGAAGTATTTAGTCAAAGCCATAATATGAAAAGCCGTTTGCCTACGCATTTGCCGTCGCACTCGATTCCTTCCAACCTCGGTTGAAACAGTAAAAGCGCAGCAAGGAAATATTTTAAAGTAAGCGAGACTTGAGCTTTTTGAGAAGTATTTTTCAAAAAATGTAATTGTTACTGATACTTTCGTCTAAACCTCTGCCTGTAAAATTTAATACAATTTTATGCCAACAATTAGATAAGGTATTCATTACCAACCTGAGAAGTGCTGGATAACATGTAACCCAAGATTGAGAAATTACAATAGCCCTTTGTTGTCGATAAACTTTCAAACGCTGCCTTGTTTTCTAGAAGCGCAACGAAGAAATGATTCCTCCCAACATTTCAACACGTCCATTACAAAAACAATCCAAACTACAGGTCTAACTTGTTTCTGCAAATTATACGACACATTAATATATATGGTACTTCGAATCATGCTCGACACCGTACGAAACTTCCAAGCTGATGTTTAGTTGAACGCGATCTTGTCGGAATGCTTCTATACAATAACGCTAGAAAAACAGCTGTAATGGTCTTCGTTTAGCCACACGCTTACTAACTTATCGCACAAATTAATGCTCATGACGCGTACGAGCTGGCCTTGGAATAAGGATTTAAGTAGGGTTCCTAAGCGGTTCTGGATAAAGGACGCTTTCTTTATCCAGAAGGACGAAAGATCCTTTAGATTCGCCTAGACTTTTTATGTAAATGAATTATACCACTTCGAATACAAACTATGAACTTATGGTTTGCTCTCAATCCTTGTCACAAATGAAAAGTAATAATGTGAAAAGCCGCTGTGGCCGACTTCCAGCCCTCGCCTTGAAACCCCTTGCCTCGCAAAACGAACCTTCCATCCACTAGTGCTCGAGAAACTGTAAGCCTAGAATTGCAAGCCTACCCTAAGGAGCCTGCTAAAGCAAATTTGAGAAGGCCATTGAAAGTCTCGAAGCTAAATGCTCATTGCAATGGCTGTCTATAGATGTACAGTAGACACGATGGTCTTACGGAATGGGACAGATTTCCTGCTTCCACTCATTTATACTTATTTTCAATGCAGCGGCATGTATTTTTCTGCTCTTGTCATAAACAAGCTAACTTGCTTTTTATTTAGCCTGTACAATTTCCACTGCGTCAGAACGGTCAGTTTTATTTGGTGTCTGTCAAGATTGCTTATAAGCTCTTATTAGCTGCGTATTTGAAATGACACAACGAAACCTGTTTCATTTGTTCAATGTGCTGTATTGTCATATGGATTTTAAGCCTTCGATTGCTGGCCTTTTCAAACGGATACATGGTATTCTGCAAGTCACGGCAGTGAATTCTTGCTAAGGCGCTTGGATTACTTCCTAACGTAGAGAAGAATCCTGTTGATGCATTCACTCAGGTTAATTCTGCTGGAGAAGAACTAGGTGATAATATATGAATACGATTCCCATTGTTTGTTTTCTTGTTAAAAAATGTATACATATATATCCAAATGCCGCATGCGTTAGCCTGTATAGAATGACTAAGGTTTTTAATCCTGTATTTTCGAAGTCGTTTATAAATAATATTCATTTAAAAAGTGACTAAGTTCGTAGTCTAGGCTGCAAAGTCACAAACAGACGTGTAATTTTTAATTCAATCAGAGTTATAAACTTTGAATTGAAATTCACTGTATGAGGACACATATTTATACGTAGGCCGTATGCACAGTTGTGCTAAGTAAGAATACATCTTCTATAGAAGAACATATATAAATATACGTGACCGGAGCATTGCTGTTGTCAAAGCACCGTTTGAGCTGGCAGCTCATAATTAGTTAGAGTTACTCGAGCTAGTTTATAATATAATAGGTATTACTTAAAAATGCAACGCTCCTCCAAACATGTGTTCGCTTGCAGTAAGTTGCAATTTAGTATGAAGTTATCCGCCACTACTCATTAGCTCATTAGAAGTTTATTTAACCTGTTATTTTACAAACTAGCATTAAGACTTTTAAAAAACAGGTCCTAGCTTTGAGGTATCCCTACGTAACTTCCTTTAGAGTTACCTAAGTAGCACCATAACGATGCCTGTCATAGTCATTCATCTTGATAGCCATTCCTATGTGCCCGTCTGGGTATAGTTGGTACTGGAAACGAACAAATAATGCATTGTCAATTATGCAATTTTGTTAATTGGAACTTTATGTTACGTAAACAGCTAGTTTAACTAGGTAATAAATCATTTACCTGCACACATATGATGCAGCCATTTCTTTTCCTCATTCTCATGTCAAAAACACCATATCAAAAAATCTGATTTCTTCTTATTTATGAAGCATATTTTCTTTCATTTGCCCTTTTTTTTTCAAACATCGTATAATTTTTTATCTTTAGCATACACTCGTAGGGGTTTACAGGTATTCCATAAATATCTTAATTATGATATTAGCCATTTTACTTCACTTTTACGAGCAGGGTGTCTCAGTTCTACTTCAACGCTACTAAACCTATGTAGTTGACACATGTACGTTAAGGGAATATTAACTAGTATTAAAAGGAAATGAAGAGGGAGTATTAAAAGGGAACGTAGATTCGGATATAATCGAAAAAAAAAAACGAGAATTGGATACAAGTGTCTATTCGATCGGGTAGAAATGTCTATGGCGTATTTTCTTAAACGAATTGACTAATTCATTACTGCTTTCATGTACTATTCTTACATATGCCGGTTATACTGCTGTACCACGGGTTAGCCTTCATCAAATTGAAGGAAGTGGATTGGACAATCTTCAAAATCAATTCATATGTAAACGAATAAAAAAAATTTTCCTTTTCCCTTCAAAGCGCGCCTTTGTTGTTGTGGTTAGGTTATGATAAGTCGATGTGCTCGCCTCAACAACGCAGACTGACTTCTAGTACAAATTACTTTCGATTGAGAATTTGCTTAAGATTCATCATGGTGTATTCAACGTAATGTCAAATTGATGGTGGTACTGCTAACTTGTCGAAATGGCTGCTCTCAACTATCAATGTGTTGAATTGATTAAGAGAAACTAAGCTACCTTCAATCATTTTTCATTGCCGTATTCATGGCTATTGGTATCCTATTTAAATTTCAACGTGCTTGCATAGAAAATGAGCCCATTGTCAGCTTATGACGCTTGGCAGTGTCAATTATCAGAGGAAAGCAGCTGAGCCGTTGCAAGCCTTAAGCGGGAACTATTTGATGATGTTTACCCGGTTGATTTCATTGATGGCGTTGTGGTTTACTGGTAATTTTTGAAAGCTATGCACTTAACATTTCGCTAAAATCTTGAAGGGGCCCATCGGGGAGCACTAATTGTGATTTGGGACGTCAATTCTAGCGGCGCGGCAGAAGCCGCTGAACTTGTTCGAAGTGAAGCAAACTATTTCCGCTTGAAATCTTATCTGTATCTATAGAAGAGCAAGTTAGTGAATACTTATCCATTGCTCAGCTGGCGGCACAAGCGCCACAAGCGTATCAGTACGACCCTTCCAGCGTAAAATCTTGCG